AAGGAAAATTATGATGGTATAGTATCTCCTACTTTCTGTATATAGACCAACTTCTTTTTCTTTTTTCCTTCTGAAATCTTATTTCTGAAATGGTCTTGCTATATATGTAGCTCAGGCTGGCCTCAAACTTACAGCAATCCTCCTGCTCCAGCCATCTGTGCATTGACATTACAGGTATGAATCACTCTGCCTGGCTCTTAGATCAGTTTATTTTTTCTTGAGTGTTGACTCTGTAAAACTTTTGGACAACCTCATACGTGTGCACGGTGTATTTTGGCCACTGTCACACCCTTTCTCCTCCCTCCTCCCTCCTCCCTCCCTCCCTCCCTCCTTCCTTACCTCTCTCCCTCCCTCCCCTTCCTCCCTCCTCCCCATCCCCCTCCCTCCCTCCCCATCCCCCTCCCCCTCTCCCTCCGCCACCAAACCTTCCTTTCTTTGTAACAGACTGCCTCCTTCTTTCATGCCTTCTGTCTTGGCTTTGTTTGGTTTTGCGACCCACTGAATGTAACTAGAGTTACTTAGGTGAACATGGGTGAGGGGTTACTCAAGGGCACAAGGGCAGCTCACTAGCAGTTACATCACTGGTGAAAATAGCCCCCCCAGCAACCATGGACTCCAAAGCTGCCTCCATGAACCCTTTCCCCACCCATGATGGAATGCTGATGACCCTGTCTTAGGCAGGTGTTTCCAGGTCATGGGTGCAATGACCGGGTCATTTCCAAAAGACATCGAGCGCATCATAGCGCTTCTACCCACCCTCTGGCTCTTATGTCCTCTGTCCCCTCCTCCGTGATGCCCCGCCCCCCACGAGTCTTGAAGGAGGTAATGTGAATGTCTCATTGGACGCTCAACAGGTGTTTTCGGCACTTTGGCCATTGTCTCGTCTCTGCAATTATCATCACCCACTGCAAACAGAAGCTGCCTTGACCAGGCCTGAGGGCAACATTAATTTAGGGACATAAGCTTACATGTTCAGAAGGCACTGTCACAGCGTAATCTGTGGGGGGAGGAAAAAGCTCTGGGTGAGTGTGAGGTCCTGAGTGTGCTTGGCCTGGTGACATGACACGGCCATGTCAAGGACTCAGATCCCTGGGAAAATGGTCACTCCTCTCCCCACCGCTAGATGAGGCTCAGAGGGATAGCAGAGCCTACCTCTGGTCTATGTGTGGGTGCGAAACACATCCAACGTAGCTTTCTCCTCCTGGATGTCTGTGGCCTGAAGACTGCTCCCCTACAGAGGCTGCTCCTACCTAGAGTAGTTAACCTGCCTCTGTGAGCCAGCTGCGTACCGTTATCCTTAATGTCTTGTTTATTTGCAATAACCCTGACCCCTGGCTCAGCTGTACGCAATAAGCCCACCCCTCTGTCCAACTGTATATAATAAATATTCCAAGCTTCTAGGGTGCTGTGGTTCTCCGTCGGAAAGTACAGTCCACCTGATCCCAACATCCTCCCCCTCGTGTGTATGTGTGTGTGTGTGTGTCTGTCTGTCTGCGTTTTCTTAATCCCTTTATTACCCCAGTCAGGCCTACGTCCCTGGAGCCATGCAGGATATAACAACATTGGATAAATAAAATAACAGTAGTAGGTTGTCTCCAGGGCCTATGACCTCTCCAGCCATTAAAAATAATTATGTACATGGGTGTTTTGGCACCAGGTCTCCTGGAGCTAGAGTCAGGGACTTGTGAGCTGTTTGTTGTGGGTGCTGGAACTAAACCAAGCTAGCCTCCACCTTTGGAAGAGCCGCATGCATGCTCTTCAGTAGGTTGTCTGTAGCGTGATAATAGGTTTCTCCGCCTATGAAGTAAGGCAGATTGAAAAAGGAAAAGAACAGGTTTCTTTTGGACAAAGCGACTCCCAGGTGAGTCCTCCAGCCCCAGAGATCCAGGCAGGGGAAGTCAGCTCCTGAACTAAAGCCAGGGAGCTTAAATACCCTGTAGGCGAGGAGTGGTGATGTGCCCTATGCCAGCTGGATTTGTGCCCAAGCATAGTCAAAAGCTGAACACTTTAGGCGGGGACTTGGGCTGCTGGCAGCTTCAGGGGAGGAGCAGCTGTGGCCGCCAAGAAAGTGGGACTGGGCTTTTGGAGCCTTCTTCCCTTTGTTGGAGATTCTCTGAGAGGGCGGGGTTTGGAAACAGGAATGGCTGAAAGTTGCAGCTGAACACACTTAGCCTATGGAGCGAGTTCCAGGACAACCTCCAAAGCAATACAGAGAAACCCTGCCTCGAATCCCCCCCCCAAAAAGACTAGAAAATAAAGTCAAAATATTACTAAAGTATAGGAAAGGGGAAATGGGAGAACCTAAGGAACCAAAACAAAGTATCAGAAAAATAACAGATTCCCTGCAGTTTTTTTTTCTGGACCCTTTAATAGTGTAGTCTGATAGATGGGCAGGGCAGTCTGTCAAACTTGAGTGTCTTTTCTTTCCTAACACACACACACACACACACACACACACACACACACACACACACACACACACACACACACCTGTGCTTGTGAATAGCATTCATAGCCTTGGTCCTGTAAATAACTAACAGTGTTTGATCCAAATTCTTAAAATAGGTGTATTGGGGGAGAGAAAAAGTTTATTTTCATGTACATGAGATGAGTATGATGGCGTGGAGGGGTTGGGTTAGGGAGGGAAGCTTCCTATGTATTTCATGTGACTAAATTGATGGACAAAAAGTGTCAACAACCAGAGGGAGCTGAAGTTTGATTTTAAAGTGGTCATGCAGTAGCCTGCCACAGATCACTGATGCTGATGGAGGTTATGAGACTTCTGGGGTTAGGACTAACTACTTTTCCTTGTAGAGCAAGGGCCAAGACCATCAGAAGACACAGATATTTACATTACAATTCACAACGGTAGTAAAATAACTTTATGGTTGGTCACCATGAGGAACTGTCCTAAAGGGTAGCAGCATTAGGAGGGTTGAGAACCCCTGGTGTAGAGCAACCGTGGTGGTTACAAGTCAGTTGAGATGGATGTCGCACAAGCCAAAGGTTTGCATCATAGGTGAGGAATGTTTGGATTAGAAAACTCTGGTCTTGTGCTGACTTCAGTGGTCAGATGGTTGCCTCGTGTAAGGTCGCAGGTTCAATCTGTAGCATTGCAGAAAGTAACAAAGCCAATCTTTTTATAATGGGCTTTGCAAACAAACCCACCTAATTATGTCCTAGAACACATTGTATTTGCTTGGCACTAAACTGGGTTCATTCCCTGAATTCTCATCTGTTTAGCTTTTCCATGGTAGGAGGCAAAGTGGTTCCTGCATTTGAGGCCCTCAAGTACTTCCTCGGAAGTGAGAAACGTCAGGTTACTTGAAGCCTCTGTGGGTTCACTGTTTCTGGTTGGACATGATGCCTATTTCTAAAACAGTTACTAGAGGAAATGGTTATGCGGTGCCACTTGAGTGGGAGGGAAAAAAAGACGCTGAGATACAGCCGATAAACGCGCTCTGTATTTGTACCTCCGTTAGCACAGATCGGACAGTTGTGTATGGATTTATTCATGCATTGGCTCGCCCACGCAGGCTCACACAAACGCAGCACTTAAAAAATATCCGCATGGGGGCTGGAGAGATGGCTCAGAGGTTAAGAGCACTGACTGCTCTTCCAGAGGTCATGAGTTCAATTCCCAGCAACCACATGGTGGCTCACAACCATCTGTAACGAGATCTAGTGCCCTCTTCTGATGTGTACATGGAGGTAGGGTATTGTATTCATAATAAATAAATAAATTTAAAAAAAAGTATCTGCACGAACTACACAGCTCGGAGGGAAGGGTGTCAGCTATCACCCACAGCTCTCTCCCTTTTCTGTGTCCTCACTTCCACAGTGAATGAGGACAGGCCACGGGGGTGCCACAGTAAAAGTGAGCACCGGTAACTACCCGGTAAAAACGCCCCTTCCACACCCCAGTCTATTTATCACTCTCGGGAGAGGACTCCAGATGGAAGTTCCGCTGGGGTGGGTGCCGATCCCTGGGGCAGTTCAGCGCGGCCGGGGGATGGGGAAGGACTATTTTGATCCGCACACTCTCACAGGGCCACCTCCTCACGGGGGGCTATCTGAAGGCCACGGAGAAGGGGCTCTTTGGTCATATTTTCCAGGAAAGACGGGCTCGGGAAGCAGAGCTCAACCTCAACAGGCCGCGAGGTTCTGGAACGCGGCTCCCGAGAACGGCGGCGGCCGCGCGGAGTCGTCCGCCAGAAAGCCCCCCCGTCCCGCTGCTCTCGGTCACGGTCGCCGGGCCAGAAGGACTTCGAAGGGCCGCGGCTTTCCAGGGCTCGCTGTGCACCAGCGAGCGCCCTCCCCAGCCTCCCCCGGGTCTTCCGGCTGCACTCGACGCTGCGGCTCGGGCGTGGGAGGGTCAGGGATGCCGCGGACCGGCCCCGCCGCACAACCACAGCCCGACCCGGGGAAGGCCAGCAAGTGCTCCGCCCAGAGGCGGGCCCGGCCCGCAGCCCCCGCTGGTTTAACCGGTCGGAGCCACCGAGGTACGCCGAAGAAGAAAGTGTCACTCTCGGGAGCCGGGGACACGGCCCGGAGCTCGGGGAGCAAAGCGCTCTGCGGGGGGCCCCCCAATCTCCGCTCTCGCCGGCGTCCGCTCCGGTAGGCGTGCGAGCCCCGCGCCTCGAGCCCCCAGGACACCGCGCAGGCGCCTGCAGAGCCCCAGCGCGGGGCACACGTCCTCTCGCGGGTTCCCGGTCTCCCCCCACCCCACCAGCGCCTTCCAGCCCCTTCCCGGGAGGCGCGGTGCTTTCTGGGGGTTGTGGTTTACGTCCGTGGCGGAGGGCCTCAGGCGGCGGGGGCCCGAGGACTACAACTCCCGGCGCGCCCCGCGCGAGGCCACGGGGCGTTGGCCCCGGACGGCCTCCGGCCGTCAGAGCCGAGAATCCGAGGACCCGGGAAGCCGGCTGAGGCGGGAGGAGGGAGTGCGCGTGCGCGCTGGGCCGGCTCCGTCCGGCTCCGTCCCAATCATTGTAAACAGGCGGAGGCTGGGGCGGGGTGGGGATGGGGCGCCCGCGGCCGGCCGAGCGGGCAGCGCGGGAGGCGGCGGCGTGAGTGAGTGCGAGCAGGCGGCGGGAGCAGCGGCGGAGCCGACGGTCGCTCGGCGGCAGGCGCCGGTCAGTGGCGGGCGGCGGGGGCGGGCGGCGGGGGCGGGCGGCGGGGGTGGGGGGGGGGGTCGCCGCGCTGCGGCGCCGTGGCCCGGGCGAGCCGTCTGGCGGCCGGCCTCGCGCCCGCGCCTGTCAAGGCTGCGTGCCGGGCTGGGGAGGGAGCGCCGGGGCTGGGGATTGGAGGTGGGGGCGTGGGGGGCGTGGCTGTCGCTCCCGATGCTCTCCGGGAAGGCTCGCCCACCCCCATAGCTTGCACCTTGGGGTGGGTCACGCTGCCCTCCCGAGGGGCCTCCCCGGGTGCGCGTGTCCTGGGCGAGCCGGGGAGCTAGCCTGCGGTTTCCCGTAGCTTCCAGGCCGCGGGGCGTCTCCGCGGGCCGCACCTGGCCGCCGCCGCCCCGGGGGGACTGGCCTTCCCCGGCCTCCGGCTAGGGAGCCGCACCTGGCCTGGTCGCCTGGGCCGCCTGCTTGCCCGGTGGAGTCGGGGAGCGGCCCCTGCTGCTGCTGCTGCTGCACGCGGCTGGCGAGGGCCACGGGGAGCTCCTGGTTGCAGAGGGTTGCAGAGGCCATGGACGGCCAGACCTGGAGTTCAGAACTCCATGCTCAACGCGTTTGCAAGTTTTTTTTTCTTGTTATTTTTTTGTGCCCCGGCGTTTTTTAATCGAGGCTAGCTTTCGCCTTTAAATCACGTCGTTGGGGTGGACACTGTTTTCCACCCCGCAGTCTTCTGAGTTAGTTAGTGCCGGTTCAAATTCGGAGAGGGTTTCAGGCGTTCTTCCGGAGAGAGCAGCTGGCGCACCCCGGGGTTTGGTTGACGTTCCCGCTGGAGGTCTGTGCTGGTGACACAAGGGCTACGGTAGCTGCGGCACTGCCCAGCTGCCCGGCCTCAGTGGTTTCAGTGCGATGCGTGTGGGCTAACGCCGTGGCGCTTAGGGTAGCATTCCACCGTACGGGGCAGTTTATTCACGAAATGTTTAGGTGATGGTAAGGAACGGGCCCACTTTTGGTTTGCGGAACAGGTTGGCAGCACTTGTAAAGGAAGAAACAGGACACATCACTTCCTGTGGTAGGAATTACCTTGCCCCCTCTCTTCAGAGTGCCTCGCAGATCTGAAGGAGACCTGAGTAGGAGCTGCTGTTAAATAGTTTTTTAAACAAACTGTCTAGGCACAAGGTGAGAGAATTTGCTGTCTTTAGGAAAGGTGGTTTCTTAGAGTTTACAGGGACCATTTTCTTAATCATTTAGAAAGTGCTATTTTAAAAAGTGTGCATTGGGCCGGGCGGTGGTGGCACACGTCTTTAATCCCAGTACTCGGGAGGCAGAGGCAGGCGGGTCTCTGTGAGTTCCAGGACAGCCGGGGGTTACACGGAGAAACCCTGTCTCGACAAACAAACAAAAAAAACCAAAAAAACCCAAAACGTGTGCATTGGGACCAGAGACATTGTTTACTGGCTTAGAGGCTTGCTGCTCATGAGGGTTACTGGAAGTTGGGTTCCCAACTGCCTGTAAGTCAAGTTCCCAGAGAAATTCAACAGCTGTGGTCTCCACAGGTAATTGTACACCTCTCCTGGGATCAAAAACAATAAAAATATAAAGAAGCAAATATTAACTTTATTTTGTACAGTTAATTTGCACAGTTTGATTGCTTGACAAGAAGAGATTAGTCCAGAACACTGCCCAAAGTGTGTTCTGTTGTTTTCTTCTTTATTGGGGGAGGAGGTACAGGATCTCACTGTGTAATCCTGACTGTCCCAGAGCCTCCCTAAGACCATTGAACTCACAGAGATCTTCCTGCTTCTGGCTTCTAAGTGCTGGAATTAAAGGCATGTGCCACCATGTCTAGCTGTTCTGGTAGAACTTATGCTAGCATATGTGAGACTGAACGTGGGGGAAAATGCATATTATTTAGAATAAAAAGTTACTCTGTTTAGGTTCTCTGCCAAGTGAACAGGACTTGAGGATGGTTAAGACCGCCTGCTTTCAGGTGGTCAAGTGAACCTCTTGAATTGTCAACAAGTAATAACCAGTACATATAAGATACATTGTTTTATACACAGACAGATACATGCTGAGGATTGACACCTGGGTCTTGGATGCATTAGAAAAGCACTTAACCTCTGTGCTACAATGCTCAACCCACAAACTACAGTATGTTTTTAAGATTGCTTTGTAGAAAATATGGGGATTCTGTAATTTCCCGTTTGCTAAGGGAGAAGCCACGGAACAGGGCAGTAGTTAGAAAAGGGCCATAGATAAACATCGAGGAAAACACAGGCTGGGGATACTCAGGGGAAGATGACTTAACACAGATAACACACAGATAACATACAACCAGACAGCTATAGAAATCATGGGCAGTTAGATAGGGAATGATGTAAGCAAAAGCATGTAAGGCTCACTATACAGTAGCATCTGCAAAGGGTGTGTATGTTTGTGTGTGCTTGTGTGTACCTCCATTGTAGCTGGGGGATAGTCTGTAGACTACCATAGCAATTTCAGCTTTGTCCTGCAAGTAGAGGTTGGAACAGAGCAGGGAAGGGAAGAGGATGGGCCCCTCAACTGGCCCACCTCCCAGTCAAATGGTGTTTATTCCTCTGTTACAATTGTTGCACCCTTTTTTTTTTTTTTTTTTTTTTTTTTTTTTTGGTTTTTCGAGACAGGGTTTCTCTGTGGCTTTGGAGGCTGTCCTGGAACTTGCTCGGCAGACCTCACAGTGATCCGCCTGCCTCTGCCTCCTGAGTGCTGGGATTAAAGGCTTGCGCCACCAAGCCCGGCTTGCACCCTTAAAGAGCCGGCAAAACAAACTGGGAAAGGAACTTAAGGCTGAAGAGGTTGGACAGAGACGAGTGGGAAGCATGAGCCATTTCCAGAGCATTGCGGACAGGTGTTTCTGTAGCTGTGGCGACGGTTGGTTGTGGACACGGGAGTGGAAGATGAGGCTGTAAGATAGGTCTTCAAAACCTGTGTGCCAGGCTGAGGGTTTTAGCGCCTCCCCCATAGGTAATAATACACTGTGAGGGTTTTAAAGTCACAGTGTTTTCATTTTAGAAGTGTCTTTCTAGAATTGTAGATGTCAGAGCAGGGAGGCTATGTACAACTGAGTATGGAAAGGCTTAGAGAGTCTTCGCTCTTGTCAATAACTGAGGTGAGAAATAGGGTCTAAAACTGACGCAGTCTCGGGATACAGATAGCAGAGATACTTAGAGAATACACTGGCTAGGGTTAGCAGAGTTTGGTATTGGAATGTGAGGGTGAAATAACAATACAGTGACCTGGATTTCATCCTGGGTCCTTGAGAAAAGAGTGATAAGATATAGTGAGACAGAGAATTCAGGAAGGGGAGTGAACTTGAGGAGGAACAGAGCATTGGCTTCTGGCATATTGAGAGGATGCTCTTTGTGAAACTTCCGGTAAAACCATCTGCCTTAGAGTTTTCTGTGCGTGCCTGCAAGCGAGCAGAAGAGAGAGAGAAAAAGAGAGGGGGAGGGAGGGAAGGAGGGAGGGAGGCAGGAGTGGTCAGCACACTGTCATCTTTTTAGTTGTGAGCTCTAGTAGTTGAGCCGTCTCTCTAATCCCGTAAAGCACACTGTATATGGTAGCTGAAGCCTTGATTTAGAGACCACCATACAGCAAGAGTTTGCCGACAGCAAGCAGTTCTAGGAATAGGGCACAGAGCATTTGAATCCAGAGGATGTGTTGGACAGTAACATTCAAAAATGTTTGGTAGGTCAGATGGTGGTGGCGCACACCTTTAATCCCAGCACTCGGGAGGCAGAGGCAGGGGGATCTCTTGAGTTTGAGGACAGCCTGGTCTACAGAATGAGTTCCAGGACAGCCAGGACTACTGTCTCAGAAAACAATTTTGTCAAGGCATCCATGAGGAAATCTTGTCATAGAAACCAAAATAGGGTTTGTTTGTTTTTTAACCTTTTTGAGATAGGGTCTCATTCTATAGTCCAGGCTAGCCTTGACCTCAGAAGGATCATTCCCTTTGCCTCAGCTGTCTTTCGGGTATGACTCACTGTGTCTAGCTGAGAGGGTCATTTTTAGAGAAGGCGACTGTCTTCACGTCTAACTCCAGAAAAGAAAGAGGAGGAAAGCGTGGCCACGTGTGGTGTCAGTGCCTGTAAGACCAGATAGCAAGGCCTGTCTCAAATACAAAATAAAACACCAACCCTGACAAAAAGATGCGAGCCTCACTTGAAATTCTCAAGTCAGGCCTAGAGAGACGGCTCAGCAGCTAAGAGCCATCCCTGCTGTTCCAGAGGACGCAGGGTCAGCTCCCAGCACCCCTAGTGGGTGGTTCATAGTTGCCTGTAACTGCAGCTCCTGAGGGAACCAACACCTGTGGCCTCCAGGGGCACCCAAACTAAACCACACAGTTTTATTCTTTTTTTTTTTTTTCAGACAGGGTCTTTTTCTATGTAGTCCTGGCTGTCCTGGAACTCACTGTGAAGACCAGGCTGGTCTTGAACTCACAGAGATCCACCTGCCTCTGTCCCCCGAGTGCTGGGATTAAAGTGTGCACCACCATGTGTGGGTACATAATAAAAATGAATCTTTCAGTGCTCTGAGTGGTTGGTCAGAATAAGCAGAATGAGAATCTTTTGCATTTGGTAAGTAGAAAGTCACTGAATTTGATAAAGATTCCAACAGTCTGTTGGATTAAACTCATAGCGGTTTGGTGGGACGGCTGAGGAAGAAACCATGTTCATTAAGAGGTCAGAGTAGAGAAAGCAGACCTCTCCCAGCCCTCACTTTCCCGTCTTCCCAGGCACCCATGTGAGCTGTGAGGGGAAGTGTAGAGAGCGTGGATAGAAGGTGATGAAGGCCGAGGCGAAGACTCGAACCTAGTTTAGAAAGCAGTGCCTTTCCTGGGATATAATTCCTGCACCCATAAGACACCCTTCTCGGGCATGTGGGGCTGGTTTCAGCTTTTCATCGTAGGGCTGTCCACTGGGGTATTTCCCTCTGCTCAGCGTGTCAGCTGAGTATGCTGCCAGCCTGGTACT